ATGATCAGTTGTGTTTGTGTGCATTTATCAAAGATGAACACAAAAATTACTTTGCTCTTGAAAAAAATAATTTCAAAAATCCCTTCATGTCCGAACTCTTTAACTTCTTCACAGAATCACATCAAGCCTCGTGCTTCAAACAAAACAGGATGTGAGCTGCAGTCGTGAAGCAAAAGGAGACCAGAAAGGCGTCCAATCAGGCGTCAGTTCAGTGCAACTTTATTCATTAGAATATGTACAGAGAAAGAAAGATGTTCTGTGGAGCTCTGTGGTGGATTCGTTTGGTTATTTTTTTGTTTTGGTTCATCACACTCACAAAGTCCATGACTGCCAGCAGGGTTGTTTCACCACACGTTAGTTACACACACACATTACTTCTCATTAGTGTTGGTGGACAGTTCATTAGTGCTGAGGTCTTTGTGTGCTCGAGGTTACCCCGAAAACAAAACAAAAACAACCTGACTCACACAGTTACTCATAGGTGAGTGGAGCTTAACAAAGAATGAAAAATCAGATTATTTTTTTTTAATGGAGAAAACCTCTTGAGATKAATTTTGAGTGAAAAAAGAAACATGAAACAGGACACTGATCAGATTTATTTCTTATCCTGAGTAAACCCTAGAGTCAGTTTCCTGTGAACAAATAAATAAAAAAAGCAGAAGAAATGTGGACGGGGGCACAGAAATAATAAAATCCTGACAGTAAGTCAAAAGTTCTGAATCATGCAGAGTGACCCGGTGCTGTCTGAGTGACCCGGTGCTGTCTGAGTGACCCGGTGCTGTCTGAGTGACCCGGTGCTGTTTCAGTGTGTGTGGATGCGTCGCTGCGTAAACATCCGTGTGCATCACATCATTAGCACATCCAGGGTGTGATCTCTCTGCGCTGCAGCTGCTGGCCGGAAAGCAGTGGTTGGAGAGCTCCAGGTACTACTAACCACAGCGCTGCATCTCCACACACACGCGCATTATAAGTCGTGTTTGTTCGAAAATACAGGAAATAATCGCTCGTCTTTGGTGCAGAGCAAACGCAGGGCCTCAGGTTGGAGGGGGACAAAATAAAAGTGCAGTTTGTGAAACCACCAATTGCTTCCCGAGAAAAATGAAAACAAATTTTTCAAGAAGCTTCAAACCCGATGATTGTGGTTGAGCTTTTCTCACACTAAACAGTTATTTAGAAATGAGGTTCTGTGGAAAAGTTGTGACCATTTCTTATCTTACATGATGAAGAAAGCTCTTCAAACGATCTCAAACTGGAGAAATAAAGTTTCATTCTGACCAAACTGACGAGCTAACAGCTAGTCTGAGAGAAACCAAACTAGATCTCTGCCTTTTTCAAACAACTCCAATTCACACAAAAACTTTTTAAACTTTTATATTTTTGCCTTTGTTGTTTCACACATTARTCCCAGAAGAAATACTTGTCAACAACCATGTAATGCAGAAGTTACAATAAGGTAAAAGTTGAAAAGTAATGTTTGTAAGAATCACTGGAGATGTTTTCAGTTCAGCTCAGCTTCAGGGCCGGTTCTAACCAATTTGGCGCCCAGGGTGAGATTTCAAGTGCGTCCCCCCCCCTCCCCCCCGAGTAACGTTCTAAATCTCACTGAAATGATTCATCTTTAGAAACCAGGTAGTTCACTTGTTCATGTTAACGAGCAGCTGTGGAGTGAAGCAGTTCTAGGTGGATCTAACCCCCCAGGTGGGGATCCTTTCTGGGTAGAGTTTGCATCTTCTCTCTGTGCATGTGTGGGTTTTCTCTCTGGTTTCCACAAACCATGAACTGGACTGTTAGGTTAATTGGTACCTGAGAGAGTGAATGTTTGTCTCTATGCGACCCTGTGATGGACTGGAGACCTGTCCTGGGGGTGCCCCGCCCCTCCCACAGTGACTGCTGGATATGGGCCTGAAAGGAAGAAGCAGGTAAAGATAATGGATGGATCCTCTGCACCATGTTTTTATTTTATTTTGCCCAATGAGATCACAGATCAACATGCGAACTCCACACAAACAGACCCCAGGTCCGAACTGGGGATCGAAYCCAGGACCTTCTTGTTGTGAGGCGCTGGTGCTAACCACTGATCCATCGCGCTGCCAAATAACGCCTCATGTAGTAACGAAGCAGCTGAGAAACCCACAGAACAAGTTACCTTCATAAACCTGAGAAACCAGTGATTATTCTACAGACTAAATCAACTACAGCCAGATAAAATGTTATATTTCTTTACATCCCCCTATCTAGACGGTGCCCTTAGCCTTTACCTATACTGCCTATGCCACGGGCCGGCCCTGCTCAGGTTTGAGAAAACAAAAAAAAAATCCTTATTGAATCAATAAGGATCAGACATACAAGAGTTGCTTTTAAAGAAAAGTAAAGTTTTTTTTTATTTCTAAGAATGCCTTAAAATTTTTAAAATTACTCCAAATCAGGAGCTGTTTTACTTTTTTAATTTGAGCTTTTTCCACCCAAAGAGCATCAGCTCAATCCCGGAGCCTTCATTCAAACTTTATTTGTTAAAAACACTTTTTGTAATTTGCAAATCAGTTCACATAAATCTGTTTATAAATGAAGCAGGGGAAGTGTGAGGATTCGGGATTTCCATTCTGTGTCTGTGTTTTCCTGCTCCTCTGTTCCTCCCCAGCTCCTCCCACTCACAGGTGTTTATTTCTGCTCGTTAGTGTCTTTTTGTGTTGGCTACCTGCCACTCGTCCCGGCTTCTCGCGTTTTTGCTCCAGTAAGCAGGTTTGCATCATGTCTTYTCCCCCATTGCTTATTAATGAATGAGTTTTGTTTTTGAGCTCTTTGTGCCTGCCTGCTTCCTGGGTCCAAACATAAATAAACTGTGACATAAATCTGCCTCTGTAGCTCTGCTTCAAGCCAACTAATCCAAAGAATCCATCGTTCGTTGGTCAAAAATCATCCATGAGCTTAAAATTCGGACACAAACGTCTTTGTTTCTCCAAACTGGAGTTGTTCAAGTAGCTATCTGCTACAGGTAAGATATTAATTGTTTATAAACTTTCCACAAAACCCCATTTCAAAGGATTAGAAGAATTGCTTCAACAGGAAGGTTACATCATTTCTTAATCACCAGAAAAGACAAACAACTATGTACATAAAATAGTTCTGGATTATTAACAAAAAAAAAACTTTTCCTGCAGCTCTGCAAATATTTTCATCTTCAGGCTGCGACTCGAAAACACACACGACTACTTGGTGAGTAAAGGTCGAGTGGTTGTGTTACAGCTTCATATTTAGTGTGTTGGTTTCTACATGTTTGTGTAAAGATTTACAGACACTTCAATTTGAAGTTGTGGAATAATAAAGTACACGTTGCAAAATACGCGTCTGTACAAAACTTGAAATATTTGTACACAGAGGAATGACCATATACAGCAGAGAGTACTTCACATGCTGCAGCTTTTAAAGGACAATTCTGGTTCTTAATCATTCCAAACTCTGAGCTGCGACGAGGTAATGATTAGCGCTGACGTTAGAGCAGCACGTCGGGGTTTCGGGCTTCTTTGCAAATYGCCTTCTTTCTCGTGAAATTCTGAAGATTTCAGGGTTTCCCCCCCAGGAAACTGGTTGGTGAGGTGGYGAGCACTACTTTCCCTCCCCAACTCATCCAAAAATGATTTCAATGTCTAACTGGTCACTGGTGCACTCAGACAGGAAAAAAAAAACATTAAGGCATTCCTTTTTGTTCAGTTTATTTCTATAAGCCAGATTCACAACACAAGTCAGGGCGCTGTACAAAAACACACGTGCGTGTTAAAATACCAACTAGTTGTTGAATTCACTWCATCTCGATCTCTTTTATCAAACTAAAGAACAGTTTTTTTCATTCCTCAAAAGAAAATTAAACATTAAATTAAAGATGATAGTTTTAAATAAAGATCATTTTGTGTTGATAAATAATTTTGAATCTTTGATCAAACCTCCACAAGAACACTGATTTTATGACCTGTTGTTCGAAGTGTCCATCAGCTGTGACGCCCGTCTTAAATCACTTTGTAGATCTAAATCTAATAATCATTTCCTGAAAGCTTCAATACAATACACTCTTTATGTGATATTTTGCCAACAGAGTTGACCCCAAATARTAAAGGCCCTGTCTCACTACATTGTTTTGTTTTGTACTGTTTTGATTAGTTTTATTATTTACTGAGCCCGCGAGGGGACATGGGAGGATTTTTTTCTTTTGCGTTCCCTCGCAATGCCTTTGCGTTCCCTCGCAATACCTTTGCGTTCCCCCGCAATACCTTTGCGTTCCCTCGCAATGCCTTTGCGTTCCCCCGCAATACCTTTGCGTTCCCCCGCAATGCCTTTGCGTTCCCTTGCAATACCTTTGCGTTTCCCCGCAATACCTTTGCGTTTCCCCGCAATGCCTTTGCGTTCCCCCGCAATACCTTTGCGTTCCCCCGCAATGCCTTTGCGTTCCCTCGCAATACCTTTGCGTTCCCTCGCAATGCCTTTGCGTTCCCTCGCAATACCTTTGCGTTCCCCCGCAATACCTTTGCGTTCCCTCGCAATACCTTTGCGTTCCCTCGCAATGCCTTTGCCTTCCCCCGCAATACCTTTGCGTTCCCCCGCAATGCCTTTGCGTTCCCCCGCAATACCTTTGCGTTCCCCCGCAATACCTTTGCGTTCCCTCGCAATGCCTTTGCGTTCACCCGCAATACCTTTGCGTTCACCCGCAATACCTTTGCGTTCCCCCGCAATACCTTTGCGTTCCCTCGCAATGCCTTTGCGTTCCCCCGCAATACCTTTGCGTTCCCCCGCAATACCTTTGCGTTTCCCCGCAATGCCTTTGCGTTCCCTCGCAATACCTTTGCGTTCCCTCGCAATACCTTTGCGTTTCCCCGCAATGCCTTTGCGTTCCCTCGCAATATTGTTTTGTGTTCCTACGCAAAAGCTTGATTTGTATATGAT